TGTTTTTTTTCTATTCTAATCCTCCAGGCTTTTACCACCTGGTGTATCCACCACGTGCCCTAATAACATCACGAAGCTGTTCGGGCATGGATCGAATCAGGTTGGTGCAGGTCTTAACATCGATTTGCTGCCAAACCACCTGGATCTTGTTTCACAGGTCTTCTTTACTCGAAATTTGCCCAGGGAGGTTTCTAAGTCGACAGTCAACCTCAATCCACAAATGTTCAATGGGGTTGAGATCAGGAGACTAGGGGGCCAATCCAACAACCTAATGCGGTTATTCCTCAACCAACATTTTGTCAACCTTGCCGTATGCTTGCGGTCATTGTCTTGCTAGAAAATCACATCGCAAATATTAAATTCGCAATTTCTAATGGTCTCCAAAAAATCCTCATGAAGTATTTGACGATATAACTTGCCATTCATATGGTCTTTGATTTTACAAAAACTACCAATGCTGCAAGACGTAAAGCAACCCCAAATCATGACAGAACCACTGCTATATTTCACCATAGGCTTAATGTAAAAGTTGTTTAAAGGTTCTCCAGGATGCTTCCAATAATATTGCTTGCCAACTGATCCAAAAATCTTGAACTTTAACTCGTCGGACCAAATTACCTTGGCCCAGTCTTCGTAAGTCCAACTTTTATATTTTTTTGCAAATTCTAACTGACGTTTTTATGAAGTTGGCTTAGGTAAGGCTTCTTTCTTTTAACACCCAACACCAAACTGTGGAACCTAAGTATACAATGTACAGTGGGTGCAGAAATGTCAATGTTTTCTTGTTCTTTTAAGTGGAAGCACACTTCAACAACACTTGAGCAGCAACAGGAGGTAATTAGGTTTACAATCCTCCTTTGGGTTGGTTCGCCCAAACTAACTAGGTGACCAACCCTTGCCAAGTTATTAAGTTCGCAGTATCTTAACCACCTATTTTTAATACAAGAAACGGTGGAGGAACTAACTTTATGGATATGACCTACTGTCCTTGTGGTGTATTCTTTTTGTAGTGAAAGTAAAATTTTAGCCCGTTAGGCTGGAGTCATTCATTCATTTTTTCTTAAAACTTGATTATCAATAAGATTTAGTATTGTACAATGATGCAAAAATAACAATGTAATTTACTTTTATATTGTTATTTATGTTGTACACAAGCCTCATCTGACCTTTATAGAGAACGATCATAAGTAATGCATCACGTTTTTTATGATACAACGTGTGATTGTTTCCAAACCAGCAAAACAATCTAAATTAAGAATTTAATATCAAAAAAGATAACTATTCATGAGCAAATTAAAAAAAAAACAAAAGGATACGTCCAGAATTGCACGAAATAATGTGATCTAACCAAATTTTTTTTTGCTCCATTACTTATGATTGCTACTGTATAAATATATTTATACTGGTGAGTAATTTAATAACTTTTAACTTGAGTCAATGTTGAATTAAGAGAAATGTTTACTTACAACTTTTTCTTCATATTTAAAAGCTCACCTGTAAATTTATAATACACAGATAAGTAATTTAATATATGTTCACAATTCTTCGGTATTAAGATCGGCAAAATAACTAACGAATAAAATTTTACTTTCTGTATAGCATCTATTTAAAATCTTTTCGAAGCTCCGAAGCAAATCTTTTTAGGATCTATAAATTTATATTATATTAGTAAGTAGTTTGATATTATTTTTTTTATTTTAGTTTTTTCTTTTTAATAAATTTTTTTTTGTTATTATCCGTGATTATTGCTAGTATTGTTTGTTGGTGTATTCACTTCGTGTTGCTAGTCTTTTCCCTTAATATCAATGGTATTATTTCTTTTTTTTATTGTTTTTTTTGTTTTTATTTTTTTCTTTTTACTAATATTTATTTTTTATGTATCATTTAATATCGTCGCTTGTGTCATTGTTTGATGGTATCTTCTCTTCGGATTGTTGATGGTCCTTTTGGTACGTTTTAATGATTTCATTGTTTGTTGAGGCTTTTTTTCTATTGGTCAATATTATTAATACCTTTTCTTCCTTCATTAGTAGTACCTTTCTTTTATCGATTGTTGGTACTTTTCTTTATTATTAAAATCAGAAAATAAAATGAGCATAATTAATAATTTGACGAGTTGTTATGGAAGTAGAGCTAAAGAATAAAAAAAAATAAGCGCAGGAAAAAAATACAAAAAAAAGAGAGGAGACACATTTGTTTACATACCTTATTTAGAAGCTTGTGCATCTAAAATGCATAAATTAAGTTATACAATCTGCAGATTCAATATAAATTGTATTATAAGCGATTTATGCAAATCAGTTATACTTGTGCATCCAGAATGCATGCTAAGTTACAGACAACTGTGCTTTATATATATATATAGATATCACGTGCTGGTCACGTGACGAAGACAAAGGAGGATCGAAACTTAAGCATGTATATAATGCACTATGATAGTGCATTCCTAACCCTAACAAAAACCCAATGCATATTTCCTACCCTTTCTGCTTCCACCGCTTCTTCCACTTTTTCTGCTTCTTATACATCTGCTTCTTCTTGCTACTTCTTGTTTCTCTGACTTCTTCTGCTTCATCAGCTTCTTCTGCTTCATTGGCTTCTTCCGCTTCGTCAGGTTCGTTGGCTTTTTAGGCTTCTCTGACTTCTTCGGCTTCTTTCTCTTCATTGGTTTCTTTGGTTTTTTTTACTTTCTTAGCTTCTTTTGCCATTTCTGCTTTTGCTCTTCTTTCTGTCTTACCTTCTTATTTAGTTTGACCCACTAGTACATACTTATTTTCAATCTATTCTTTTGCTTTTACTTACCGAATTCATAATTTCTCCTTTTTTTTAAAGCAGCAAGCCATGGTGTGGCGTATTCTACTTGCTACATATATGCTAAAAACAAACACACTACACCTATCCAATAACAACTGATGAAATACTTTTTTTTTTTTTTTTTAATGCAGCAAGCATGAGCCCACACTATAGTGCAGCGCATTCAACTTGCTACACTACAAGTAATGACGAAAAAGTGCTTTTTTCTTCTTTATTTAAGTAGCATATACAAGTTTATATGCATTCTACTTCTATCTATATATGTACTTCTCTACATTTTACTTTCTATTAAATAGCAAGTATAGGCCCATGCTATGGTGTGGCCATTCTACTTGCTTTTTTTTTTTTTTTTTTTTATTGCTGTTGGGGTAAGGTGTTTCTGAAGATCATCTTCCAAGGTCTCTTCTTTTTTTTTTTTCTTCACCAAGGGGTTCATAATCAGGTTATGAAAGAGAGACGGAATTGTAAGATGCTATGGCTCTTGTATTTTACTTTTTTTCTCTCTTTTTTATTACTACGGTCGTATTTGCTTGGTTCAGCAACTAGTATATAGGCTAGACCAACCCGTAAACACCTATATTTGTATATTAAGATTCAATCAAAAGTTCTCCCAGGTTCACAGCCATTGTATGTGTAGGCAATTCTTGTTTTAAAATTACTTGGGTATAAGAACTGTTGATAGTACTTGTCGATTTGAATTCGCTATTCTTTGGATCAGTCCAATATTTTGGTCTAATTGATGATAAGTCTAGATTTTATGCAGCTCTCTATTTAATAAAATTCCTTCTTTTATTTGTAAATCATCTCATTTAATAAGAGAAACAGCGCATTTTCTTGAGGTGATGTAAAATCTTCAAAGTCAAGATCTTATATAAATACTTTTTTAAAATTGCTACACCATTTTGTAAATTTTGTAACTGATTATTTTGGAAGCTTCTCAGGATATCCTTTTGTTCGGCAAATCTCCACACTCTTAATCACATTAGTCTTTTTTGGCTCAAGATAATATTTTCGATTTCTTTCCCCCTTTTTTTTTTTTTTTTTTGAACGTCAATTCACCAAAACCAGATCAGGTTATATGGCAATGTTTTCCATTCTTTTATTCAAAACCACATTCCATTCTTGCGATCTATGGCATTTAAGAAACAGTATCAAAAGCTAATTCACACCTATATAGGATCTTTAAATATTTTAGATTAGTCTCTGCTCTGCACAACTACGTAACTTCTGCATTTTACTTTCTTTGAGGCAGCAAGTATGAGCCCACGCTATGGTGTGATGCATTCTACTTGTTACACATATATATAATAGTTATATGTCCCATATATATAATTTTTGAACCATTTTTACATCATCTACATTAGCTTCTGTACCAGGGATATATCCAATGAATTTATAGCCACTAACTTCTACATTCAAATATTTTTAGATAAACCCTCTCAGAAAGTTCTTGCTACTCTGATCTTCAACAATTCCTTAGGGGCAGGACTATACGAAGGAGTCAAAGAACTATTGATAGTATTTGTCGATTTGGATTTGCAATTCTTTTCAGTATATCTTTCCAAAGACCTTTTTCCAAGATTGTATAGTTCTACATTATCAACAATATCATCTCTGGATATTTGGAAATGAGGTATATGAAGTAACCAATTCTTTAATATATTGTTCAAAACTAAAAGGTTTTAGCTAGTCCAATTTTCTGGTTCAATTGATGATAGACCAAAAATCATTCCACCATTTTAGTAAATTTTTTTTTTTGGTATTTTACTTGCTACATATGCACAACTTCCTGGTTCTTACTTTCTTTAAAGGAGCAAGTATGGGCCCATGCTATGGTGTGGCGTATTCTACTTGCTACTGTATATATACACTTAACCGTCATATGTTCCCTTCACATGGTCCATGTTGACTGATTCCAAAGATAATTAAACGCTTTAATGTAGCACTTCGAACCATTTTAACACCATTTGTGTTAGCTTTCGCACTGAAATATACTCAAGAGATTCATTGGTTGTATGACTACTAATTTTTATATTCCAATATTTCTAGATAAGCAGGTCTCTTATTACTCCAATTCACAATAGTTTCTTAGGGCAGGTGGGGTGGGACCATACATGAAAAAGCCAGACCTAAGTCGGGCAGCAAAGGAAAAATGTACTAACATATGCACAACTTCCTGGTTCTTACTTTCTTTAAAGAAGCAAGTATGGGCCCATGCTATGGTGTGGTACATTTTACTTGCTATTGTACACATACATTTAACCATCATATATCCCCTTCACATGGTCCATGTTGACTGATTTCAAAGATAATTGAATGTTTTAATGTAGCGCTTCGAACCATTTTAACACCATTTGTGTTAGCTTTCGCACTGGAATATACCCAAGAGATTCATTGGTTGTATGACTACAGATTTTCATATTCCAATATTTCTAAACAAGCAGGTCTCTTATTACTCCAATTCACAATAGTTT